GCCCCGTAGAGGCTGTCCAGGCCTCTTCTTCATACATGTCCCTATAATATATATATATATATAATTATAAATATACATCTTCATGTAATTACTGTCTGGTTGTAAATTTTTGCTGAATATGCGATGATCTATGTAACAGGGTACAAAGCGAGACAATGGTGCATGTCATGAGCCTCCCTGTGGAGGCTCGCACAGACGGCGTCTGCCTTCGTTGGCATGGCAACCAGGCCGCAAAGTCCTGCTGGGCCATCGACAACGTTGTCGTCACCAACAACGCTGACCGGCCACGCCACCTCCAGGACAATTTCGATAGCATCGACATTAGCAATTGGATTTTCTTTCCTGGTGCTCAGATCAGGGTATTTATTATGGTTAAAACTTATTAAAAATGGCACTCTATACAAACTGTGCATGTGTGTGTGTGTGCGTGTGCGTGTGTCTGGAAATGTGGTGTGGTGGTGGGCGTTAATGATCGATATAGCAGGGATTGAATCTCTAGTTGTCTTCATATTCCGACCTTTTGTAGCAGTCTTTGGCATAAAAGCTAGGTTGTCGCACATCTTTTGAAAAACAATTGACTGAATGAGCATGTTTTATTCGTGGCCCCTTCTCTGTCTTTATTTCTGTTTCTAATGATGCCACGCTTCTCTTTCTCCCTCCCTTGTTTCTGCTGACCTTCTCTTCCCCCTTTTCCTCCTCTCGTTTCTGCCCGCCCTCTCTTGTTCCCTACACTCCCCTCTTTATTTTTTCTTTGCTTCTCTTTCTCCCTACCTCCAACACCCCTTTCTCTTTCACTCTCTCTTGCTTTCTCACTCTCTCAGCACAATTCGTACTCTGAGCCGTCATCTTGACGTTTATTGATGGGGTTAAAATTGTTATTGCCGGCAGCGCGCGTGTCAGTCCCAGGGGGCAGCAGCGGTGTTCAGGGCGGCTGCGGGGCAGACGAGTTACATCGAAACGCAGGATCTAGATTTGCAGACACCAGACAATGAGGACGCACTACTGGCCGTGGAGTTTGAGTCAAACCTGCTGCCTGATGGGTATAAACTCAACTCTAGTGTCAATTCATATTTATCTTGTGTTAAATCCCAGAAATTAACTTACGTTCGGAATTTTCGATCTCTTGTTGATTTTCGATAGTAAGTTAATTTCTTGAATTTAACACAAGATAAATATGAATTCATAGTTTTCAACGAAATCCAATGAATTTATTTCATTCAACTCTAGTGTGCTAGCTCACTAAGCAGTTGCCGGCCCACTGACATCATGCACGGATCTGTGCTTGTATAGATAGATATATTTATGCAGATATGTATGGATTGTTCAGGTGGGTATAGGACGGTGGTGCATTGAAGAAGAAAGAGATCTTATCGAATGCTGCATATATCATTCCATTTGAATAATTCTATTTCTATTTTAAAATTTAGCAAAATATTACGTTGAATTGCTACTATTATTTTCATATAATAATTTACAATTGCAATTCAGAGATATTTAGCATGTATTTAAGTTACTTGTGTGTGTGTGCATGTGTGTGTGCGTGCGTGCGTGCCTGCGTGCGTGTGTGTGTGTGTGTGTGCACGCGCGTGTGTCACTCTATGTGGGTCGGTGTAGGTGTGTGTGTGTATATTTTCTAGGTAGGGAACTGTGGACTGTATTGAACATCTATGTTAGTCAATAATGTTGGTATTTCAGATGGCAGCTAACAGGGGGCACTGTGATCAACGGTCAAGTTGTCATGAGTGGCGAGAATGTGCGAAGGCTGTGTACCAACAACTTAGACTTGAGAAAAGCCCACAGTATTCAGTTCCAACTTCATCTGGGTATGTTTTGTTGTGCTGGTCATATCATCCTTTTTTGTCTCTTTCATTAAATATTATGTAAATTTACAGTGCTATTTTTATTAGTACAAATAAAAAGTACCACCTTTAAAGCACTTTACAGAGTCACCTCTTTCCAGGATCCAATAACATTTTGGTAGGCATGCTTGGCTAATCTGAACTGAGTAATAAATTGACAGAAAACTTGCGTGGTTTTCGCCTCACATTGGAGTCGAGAGTACAGTGTAATGCATGCTCACACGAGTGGTTTTATTGGCTCTATCAACATTCATGAAGTTATTGCAGCTGAAGTAATTTAACTAGATATCGTTGCACTAGATGGCACTGATGAGGTGGAGGTTGCCGAGGTCGAAATAGAGCTAAAGGTGCGAGGCTCGAAGCAAAGACTGACTGAGCCAATCGTCATCTCCGAAGAGGTATTGTTACATGCTGCCATCTGCTAACAATATTTTTCTCATTCTGTGTGACCTGGTCCTCTTTCTTAGTCGTCCTGAAAGCAATTAGTTGTATGCGGAAGATCACGTGAAGCACTGCTTGATATGCTCATAACCTGATGTGATGTGTATTCGTATAGCAAGTGGATTTCGCGATGGTGACACTCACAGGCTAAGGTGCTCTACTAATTATAAACACAGGTCTACTGATAATTTATTACATAAATCTATACTGCGATACCCCCTAACCAGATTAAATGCATATTCATCACAAAATATACCTCCTCTGGTGAGATATTGCACATGAGTGTACGTGGTTTCCACACGAGGCTATCCTGACACTGCCTCATCAGGCTACTCTATCGATGCTGTGTGTTTCAGGCACGAGTCAGCGTGTCTCACGCGATCGACAAGGCGTACCGGCGGAAGTCAGTGCGCGTCTGCTGGTCGCAGCGTAACCAGGCGGTGCCGGGGGCGACCGGCTGGCAGATTGACCGCGTGCGCGTGCTGCCGCGCGTGCAGTCCGTCGTCACCCATGTCGCTCAGTTTCGCATCAGCACACAGTGCGGCACCCCGGCTGCCGAGAGCAGGTACTAGAGGATGGGATCGTGGTTAGTTAGCATGCTAGAGGAGGTGGGAGAGGATGGCGGCGTGGTTAGCTAGCATGCTAGAGCAGGTACTAGAGGATGGGGGCATGGTTAGTTAGCATGCTAGAGCAGGTACTAGAGGATGGGGGCGTGGTTAGCTAGCATATGCTAGAGGAGGTATTAGAGGATGGGGGCGTGGTTAGTTAGCATGCTAGAGCAGGTACTAGAGGATGGGGGCATGGTTAGCTAGCATGCTAGAGCAGGTATACTAGAGGATGGGGGCGTGGTTAGTTAGCATGCTATTTTCCCCAGAAAAATACACAACTTATGTCGTTAGCACATAAACACAAAATTTTTATGCGCCTGGTTGACGGACCCCCTGAAGCCCATCCACGGACCCTAAGCTGTCGGTGAACCACAGGTTAAGAACCCCTGTAATATTATAGAGGATGGGGCATGGTTATAGCTAACATGCTAGAGGTAGGTGTGGTGAGTGCATGGAATTTGTTCTTGCCGTCAGGGTGCGATAACCACATTCTTCTTAGATGTCGTAACTATAAGTCGGTTAAGCTAGACCAATTTACACATGTTTTCATGCATGTACGTTGCATTGTCTACATTGTGGCACTTCGGTGCTAAGCAACATTTTCAGAAAGCCTTTATCGCAACATAGCTCTAGTACTATAGCCCGCGTTCGATTAACTGCCGCAGTTAATCGAACGCGGGGTATAGTACTAGAGCTAATCGCAACAGTGATTGTTTAGAGTTACTTGCCAATTACTCTACGTGGATATAGGTTATAAGGCAATTTGCACATTATTGCTCAGTTATGAGCAGCTCCAAACTCAGTTTTTAAACTGAGACAGAATTCGTGTTGGTCTGATTTTATTAATTACCGTTTATGTTAGTTAAAATTGATTGTAGGTCGTTTGATGTAGATGTTTGGATCATCTTTGATTGCTATTTCTATCAAAATGATTGTATATTTTTACTGGCTGGTGGAAGCAGTGCTCCTTATATTGTCTGCAATATGTTATCAAACTGTGGGAAATGCTTGATTGTTTATATTTCTTGTCACAGTGTAGCGCTACTGTACTCGACCAACAAGGGTCGCAACTGGCACCCGGTTCAAACGAGTTGCCTTCCTGGACAGGAATGTTCAGGAGGATTCTGGGCAGACAAGTCTACATATCATCCCACAGATACAGCTGGGTGAGTGTATCATGCAACTGCTAGCTGTTACTCATGTATGTACCAGCTCACCATAAAACTAGGTGAATTTATATTATGCAACTGTTATCTGGTAACTATCTGATATGGTTAGGGTTAGGGTTAGGGTTAGAGTCATGGAGTAGGCCTTGGCGACTCCCTAGACTCGTTAGTGGAGTAGGCGAGGTACGGTCCGGCATATTAGATAGTACCAGGGTACGTTCCGGCAGTACCCCGGGGGACATAGACCCTCTCAGCCTTATTAGATAGTACCAGGGTACGTTCCGGCAGTACCCTGGGGGACATATAGACCCTATCAGCAGCATTACAGTGATATAACTGAGTGAGTGTACGCAACTATGATTTAATTTATTGCTCATGTACATACGAGCACACAGTCATGTAGCTGGGTGAGTGTATGTATAACTATGAGTTATATTGCTCATGTACATACAAGCACACAATCATGTAGCTGGGTGAGTGTATGTATAACTATGAGTTATATTGCTCATGTACATACAAGCACACAATCATGTAGCTGGGTGAGTGTATGTATAACTATGAGTTATATTGCTCATGTACATACAAGCACACAATCATGTAGCTGGGTGAGTACGATAGAGAAGAGATTGACCTTGAAATTGACATTTAACTTCATTATTACATTCTTATTTCTACTTACATTATTGGGCTTACAAAAAATGTCTGTGCATGCAGCACAACGTTGACAGACGGCGAAATATACAGCACAACGTTCACAGACAGCAAAATATTAGCAAGGCAAGATATAGCACCCCCTATTTTCAGGCAAATCTTTACCATTTTTTTTTGTCTTTTTTAAGCCCTTTTTACCGTTTTCAACGAGTAAAGTTTAGAACCCGTCCCGTGTATTCATCGATCTCTTCTGTGAATTTGGCGCTATTTGGATCCAAACTGACGGAGCCTTTCATTAACATACATACATACAACATTCGCCAAATTATAGTAAGATTACAAGCATGTGTCATATTAAGTACAATCAGCAATCCCTGAGCAATGACGTTGTGAAATCACATTTATTCCATATTGATGAAACAGAAGCTCTCGACAACTAAGTACTACCTTACTACGTTTTTTTCTCTCAGCATTCTCAGCTCTCCTACCTCACCTTCTCCTCTCTCCCCGCCATCTCCCCCTCTCACCCTACCTTCTCCCACCTCCCCGCCGTCTCCCCCTACCTTCTCCCACCTCCCCGCCGTCTCCCCCTCTCACCCTACCTTCTCCCACCTCCCCGCCGCCTCCCCCTCTCACCCTACCTTCTCCACCTCCCCGCGTCTCTCCCCCTCACCTGATAGCTTCGATTGGTCCGCAGTACTGCGCGGCGCGTCGCCCTGCCAATTGACGAGGTCGTCGGCCATCTTGTCTGGCTCGCTCGTGTTCAGCGTAATCGCATGAGCAGTTCGTCGGACAGAGTGAGCGTCATCGAGCTGCCCACACGTCCTCGCCCTCGCCGCTATGACGCGGCTGCCACAGCGGAAGCGACAGCGCCGGGCCCTGCGCCGCGCACGGCACCAACAACGACACGTGCCTGCAGGAGCAAGAATGGCAGTGAGGTTAGGATAACCTTGGTAATGACACGTGCATGCAGGAGCAAGAATGGCAGTGAGGTTAGGATAACTTTGGTAATGACACGTGCATGAAGGATCAAGAATGGCAGTGAGGTGGAGATAACTTTTGGTAATGACACGTGCATGAAGGATCAAGAATGGCACGTGAGTTAGGATAACTGGTAATGACACGTGCATGAAGGATCAAGAATGGCAGTGAGTTAGGATAACCTTGGTAATGACACGTGCATGAAGGATCAAGAATGGCAGTGAGGTTATGATAACCTTGGTAATGACACGTGCCTACAGGAGCAAGAACGGCCAGTGAGGTATGATAACCTTGGTAATGACACGTGTATGCAGGAGCAAGAATGACAGTGAGGTTATGATAACCTTGGTAATGACAAGTGTATGCAGGAGCAAGAATGGCAGTGAGGTTATGATAACCTGGTAATGACACGTGTATGCAAGAGCAAGAAATGGCAGTGAGGTTAGGATAACCTTGGTAATGACACGTGTATGCAGAGCAAGAATGGCAGTGAGGTTATAATAACCTTGCTAATGACACGTGTATGCAGGAGCAAGAATGGCAGTGAGTTATGATAACCTTGGTAATGAGAATGTATGCAGTAGCAAGAATGGCAGTGAGGTTATGATAACCTTGTAATAACACGTGTATGCAGGGTGCAAGAATGGCCAGTGAGTTATGATAACCTTGGTAATGACACGTGCCTACAGGAGCAAGAATGGCAGTGAGGTTATATGATAACCTTGGTAATGACAAGTGTATGCAGGAGCAAGAATGGCAGCGAGGTTATGATAACCTTGGTAATGACGCGGATACCCGGTAGAAAGAATGGCAGTGAGGTTATGATAACCTTGGTAATAACAAGTGTACGCGGTAGAAAGAAAAGCAGTGAGGTTATGATAACCTTGGTAATGACACGTGCCTACAGGAGCAAGAATGGCAGTGAGGTTATGATAACCTTGGTAATGACAAGTGTATGCAAGAGCAAGAATGACTGTGAGGTTAGGATAACCTTGGTAATGACACGTGTATGCAAGAGCAAGAATGGCAGCGAGGTTATGATAACCTTGGTAATGACACGTGCCTACAGGAGCAAGAATGGCAGTGAGGTTAGGATAACCTTGGTAATGACACGTGCCTACAGGAGCAAGAATGGCAGTGAGGTTAGGATAACCTTGGTAATGACACGTGTATGCAGAACAAGAATGGCAGTGAGGTTATTCATAACCTTGTAATGAACCGTGCCTACAGGAGCAAGAATGGCAGCGAGGTTATGATAACCTTGTAATGACACGTCCTACAGGAGCAAGAATGCCAGTGAGGTTTGCTTCACTCTATAGTGACTGCTGTGGTGGTGTTGACAATTAGACCACCAGTTCACGCAAATTGTTGCAACAGTAAAAAGTTCAACGAGAGCTCAGCTGGGACTAAGTAATAATCTATATCAAAGAATCGCAGCTGCAAAACAACATGTGCTGCATATATACCGGTCCATGCACAAATGTGGCGCAAAGCTGTGCTTA